GCCTGTGCTGCCTGCGCTGCCCGTGCTGCCTGCCCTTCCTGCCCAGCTGCTGCTTTCAGCCACACAGGCACTGACAATGGGCTTTCCACCCAAAAGGTTAGTGTTGTTTGGGTTTTTTACCCCCAGCTAATGGGTTAGTAGGTCATACTCCTATCCACAAGCTATATGCATATATATAGGTAGCTATTGCTGTACATAGATACAGCATACAGTCTTAATTATATTATTTATATTAGTGTATAATTTTTGTGCTGCACTAAAACTGTAGTTTGCCAGTGTAGATAGTTTTGTGTATGTACACCAGAGTTTCCAGGGTTTCAGCTAGTACCCCACGGGCTGCTGGCCAGGTCCTGATGCCCAAACACACACCTGATCACCCAGAGTACAGGAGGCACAAAGGCAGCCCAGAAGAAGCCCCAGAAGAGCCAGGATCCAAACAGTGACACCCATAACACGTGCACACGCGCTTGCAGCCTTCAAGGCTGTGTTGCAGCCCTGGGAAAACCTAACCAGAAGCTCTTTTTTCCCCTTGCCTTACTGCTGTTTCTCTGCCCCTCTGCAAGGAGCCTGGCCAGCTGCAAGCCCCCTTTGCTGGGCTGAGGGCTCCTGTCCCCCTCAGGCTCTTGACTCAGGTGCAAAGGCCACCTCTAGCCCTTGCACCAGAGTGTAGCTCCAGGCATGGCTGACTCTGGGCTTGGGCACTTCTCCACCCCCAGCCCTCCCTGGGCAGCACCTGGCTTGGAGCATCCTGGTGGCCCAGAGTGCTATTGGCATACCTCCTGTGGCATCTCCTGAGCTGCCTTCAGCTTCCCCCAGGGGCAGAAAACGGGATGGTAATCAGTGTTAATTTTGCTCCTTTTCCCATGTTCTCCAGCTTACATCCCACCCCCCATCCTGCCCATCCTCCCCCCCGCCCCTGCAGCCCCATGTGCTTGCTGCCTTCTGTCCCCATGCATTGTCCTGGTGCTCCCCGCCACTGCCCACTCCCTTGGCACACATCAATCCCACTCAACATCATGATATGGGGTAGGAAAAAACAGATAGGGAAGCAGCCCCATGGTTTTGCGTTCCTTTGGGAAGGCCAAAGGGAAACCAGTCACTTGGGTGCTGGCATTTGGGGGCCACATGGAGCCTCACCCTCAAGGCTGCAATTTTAATTGAATGCAGTGTGGGTTGGGGGTTTTTTTATTATTATTGTTGTCTCCCCATGGTGCCCCAAGCATCAAGCTGTGCCACCATGCTCCCTTAGGCAGCACCTTTAACCCTGGTGCAGGACCTTCAAGGGACCCATCTCCACAGCCCCATGAGTGAAGCAGCTCAGCCAAGCTCTGATCCCACACACAGTCCAGGCCTCCCTGCACCTTCCCAGCAGCCCGTTCTGGGCAAAGGCTTCACAAGGAAACACTAAGGCTGGCTTTTCGGCTGGCTCAAATTTTGTTCTCCTTGAGCAAGTCAAGGGGAGAGCCCTTGGAGGGTCCTCCATGGAAACCCATGGATGGTTTCCTCCCTGCAGTGCCCCACTCAGCCAAGGAACTCTTTGCATGAGGTGCAGAGGAGACCAAAACCATGCCGAGATGCTTAAAGGAGCGTGGATGATTCATGGAGAACAGGTCCACCTGCTGGCTAATAAACAGCATGGTTAGATGCAACTGCCACTCAAGAAGGCCCTGAAATACCAAGGCTGGGAAGCTGGAGAGAGTGGAGCTCCCTTCTCCTTATAGCCTTTGCCCAAGCATCTGCTAAGGTCCCTGAGGTCCCCATGCTGGGTAGGAAGGACCTTGCCTGCGAAGCTGCTCCCCTGTTCAAGGAGCAGGAAACCACTGCTCTTGTGCAGCCTCTTGGCACCTCAGGGAGCTTCATGAGCATCACGCTGGACAGGACATTCACGCTGCCGTCCTCTCTGCCCAGCCAAGCAGGACTCATCCACCCTTTTCCACCAAACCTAGCTGCTGTCAGGTAAGGAGATGGTCTCTGCACACATGCTGGCCAGATGCTGACTTCAGAGGACTCGAGGGCATGGTTGCATTTTGCAGACTCACAAAGTACGACGTGTAGAGCAGGAACATAGCAGGCCTGTGGATGAGCGACACCAGTTCCTCCCTGCTCATAGAACTGGTACCAGTAATGATGAAAGGCCCAACTCCCATTGCCACTTGTTGGGCTCGGTGTTTACAACAACCCCACGACAAAAGCTGAAGAGGCCCAAATTTGCGTGTGATGCATCAGGAAATGTGTCCTATGAACAGAGTGGAGTGGGGAGGGGGAAGATGAGAGTTTTCTGGCATCCCATTTAATTTATTCCAACTTTATGCAGCTCAGCTTTTCCAAAAGAGAAAAAGAGAAACACAAAAGAAAACTTCCTGATTCCTAAACAAACCAAAAAGTACAAACTGCAGATGAGAGCCAGCATGTGCAAGGTTTACATGAAAAAGCAGAACACCCTCAGATGTTAACAGAAAACAGGTAGCATCATTTTTACAGTTACTTGGCTTTGCATGCAGGTGTGTTTTCTCTCTCTCGTGCACTCACTCCCTCTCACACACATCCACGTGCACACATCCCCATCCCTGACTTTCCAAAGGGGTTCCTTTCCCTGTCTCCTCCACTGCCACATCCAAACCCCTGCAAAGTCGTGAAGGGCTTAATTTGCAGAGCCCACCTGTGCCCTTCACACTTGGGATCTGAAATGTGGGGCCAAGAAGGGGGGAAAAAAGCAACAAATCCCAGCGCTCCCCTTCCTCCAGAGCCTGTTGGGTTTTTTGCCTTTCCTTCTACAGATCAGAGTCGCCAGGCGAGGGGCTATCAGCAGTGGGGACACCAATGTGGTGTTTCTCCAGCACCATTTGGTATTTCTGGGGTGTGCTGGCAGTCACCAGAGGCTGGTCCCATCCCTGCAGGTCCCAGTCATGGTCAGGTAGGTTTGCTGCCTGGTCCCCACCATGCAAGCACAGGGAGCTCCCAGCCAGCACCCATGCTCACCGAGGAACCCCCTCCCTCCACCCTATTCAACCTAACCTCACGGAGGACCTGGGATCTGGAGGCTGTTTGCTACTCAGAAGCATTTACCAGAAATGGGGAGATGCTTTATTCCACCACCCCCACCCCTGGATTTCATTTAAGGAAAGCCAGAGACTTTACTGTAAGGAGAGGTTTTTTTGCAATTGCTCTGCAAATGGGACCCATATTAAAAAGGGGAAAGAAAAAAAAAAGAATAAAAAAGATAAGAAAATAATAAAATCTCCTTGCTTAGGCGATGGGGGAAGTTATTTATTCTCGGCGTTGGTGTGTTCTGTACAGAAAGAAATCAACAGGTGAAATAACAGCAGAGACACATCTCTCCTCAGAGCAGCATGTCCAGAGCAAAACCTCTCAGAGTGCCTGGAATCGCTTGGATTTAATCTATACAAATGTGTACGTGGGCAGAGGGGTGCATGTGTGTCAGGGCCTTTACAAAGCAAGATATATACTGTAATTTACTTACAAAAAAAAAAAAAAAAGAAAAGAAAAAGTGTGTGCTGAATAGCAGATGCTCACTCCAGTCCCAAGCAAAAATGGAGGGACAAGGGCAGCTGCTTGGGAGTGCAGGTTTTAGATGGGTTTTTTCCTATCTAGAAAGAAAGACTGAATGAGAGAGAAAGAGACAGACATTCCCTGGCTTGTTATCCTAAATCTACACAAGCATCCTTCCACCCAGCCCCAGCAAGTTCACTTTAGCTCCCTCATCATAAGCTGATCCTAAGAAATACTGGGCAATAGCCCTTCAAATCCCCTGGAAAATCAAGCATTTAGCTTCGCTGTCACCCAAAGGCCCCATCCTCCTAGACCAGCGACTAGAGCCGGGTCCCTGTCGGGCTGGCTGTGCCCCAGCACCAGGAAGA